GAATATAAAACTCAACCACTGAAGTCTGGTAAGACTGCAAACAGAAATAAAATACAGTTGCATCTTTCTTGTAAGCATTAGAATGGTTTCATTATGAAGCACCAAGATAAAACACTAAGTTCATCTGCTTGTTAACTCTGCTTTGCAAGCAGAACTGCTAGTCTATTAAAAAAAAACCACAAAAAGACCAACCAAGCCAAATGCCAGAGAGGCTGTTCCCAGCTCACTGCTAGAGACTTAAGCTCAGCATGTTCATACAAGCCACAGCTGTATCAACTGATAGAGGAAAAACCTTTGAGCAAGCACAAGCCCCTGGAAGGAACTTCCTTTAGAAGATCCACTACCAATAGAATCTGTGCTGTTATGTTGGAGTTAACTCCCCTCAGTCATCCCTATTGCTAAGTTAGTGCTTGGCTAAATCAGAGCAAAGAACAGAGGAGCAATGTTCAGTAAGGAGAAAACACTGCACAATGGCACCTGTATTGAGGGTGCTCCAGCCTGAAATTAGTTATAAAGGTCACTGTAATGGACAATCACAGAATGGTTTGGTTTGGAAGGGGCCTTAAAGACCATCTAGTTCCAACCTCCCACCCCCAGGCAGGGATGCCACCCATGAGGATGAGGCTGCTCAGGGTCTTCCCCATCCAACCTGGTCAGTAAGAGAACATACTCTGTCAAAAGCACTGAATCTAACTTAGCTTTAAATTTCAAAACATCTTTAAAACCATCTTTACACAGACTGGTAGGAAACATTTTAAACTAGTACAAAATGAAGAATATGTACTGATCACGGCACTAGATGAGGAGAGAGGATATAGCAATAATCTCAGGCTTCATTTGCTTTGTAAGAGCACATAAAGCAATTCAAAGAAAGCTGCTGAAGGCCACTGGGACTCTCACTAGTAATAAAAGTGAGCATTAGGATACAGCAGTCAGGAGAAAGCAAGCATGAAACTTTTTTTCAGACAAAAATGAATCTATTCATGGTTATAAGCTGGTAACAGAAAAATCCATTTTCCCCTTCTTTTTGATTTGATCCACCAATCATTTCCCTACAGAAGCTAGTGTAATGGTACCAGGCCACCCACAGCTTTCACTGGGTGAAAATGTTGTCATAATGCTTCCTTGTACCTGAAAAAGGGACAGCTACTTTTAGTACCCAAGACATCTTCAGGCTTTTTTACCCTTAGAAACAACATTTTAAAATTCTGATCTTATTTGACAAAGACCATGGAGCAACTCTTCACTAAAATAAAAATCACCTACTACCCAATCTTATCATTTCTGCAGAGAAGGATTTTAGCTGAGACTAGCTCAAGCTAGAAGTTAGCTGAAAAAACCCCAAAAACTTCTGAAATAATTTGAAAAACTGTAAGGTTAGGCATGTTCATCCCTCTTTGTCAAAAAAGCCATGATAATCATGATTTTGCATTTCTAAAATTACATGCATCACTGGTGAGAGAAAAAAGAAACTTCATATTCTTTGACTTTATAAATGAGACTATAAAGTTATTAAAATTATTTTGCATATTGTAATAGCATCTAGAGAGAGCAACTGCTATAAAGTCTAAAACCAGTGGCTAAAATATGATCTGGTATAATTTTAATTCTGTAGAACAAATCAAGGACAAACTCTAACCATCATGTTTAATTTTTATCCAATCTCACAGACAATATTCGATCAGCAAATAGAATCCCATACATTGTGTTAGCATCATTCTGAACTAAGAATTGCTGGCAAAAGATGGTTCCAGAGCTGCTGACAGTGCACACTCCTGAATACAGACCAGGCCTTATACATATGTTCTGAGTGCAGGGTGCTTTTCTCTAATAGATGCAGCACAGATACAGATGTGCCGTAGAATCAAAATCAACACTTCCCAGTAATTTTCTAATTTGTTTTTGAAATATGTTCCATATACATCAATGTAGTGAAAGAGGATGACTCACTTTCAATGACTAAGAATTTGCAAACTCCTGGAGCATTAAATTCCTTTGATCTTGATAAGCTGGCTCGTTCTCATTCTGTTCATTAGCCCCCCCTCCTTTTCCCAGTTTTGAGCCAGCCAATCTGTAGCCCTTTCTGCAAGCTGACATATTTACCAAGTAAAATCTGTTACCACTGCTTTCCTGCTCTTACTGAAAAACACCCTGTTGCTTGTCAAGCTCCTCATCTTGGGGAACCTCCTTCTCTTTTCCTTCACATATGACATAGTCCACAAGCTCTCTTCCCACCCTGATGAGCTCATTATTAGCTCCTCTCTGTATTTCCCCAGTAACCACAAACTGATCACCTGTGCACTCTGTTAAATCTCCTTTTTTCCCACATCCACCTAATGTAATTTCATCATTAGTTCCCAAGTACCCTTTTGCTGATGACTCACAAAAATTGCCTAAGAATCTCAGAAAATAATCCAGTTGTGTTGCTTTGAACCATGTCTTGATAAGGATCTTTCTCTAAGGGTTAACCTGGGAATGTCACTACCTACATGATTTGAAAAATATGAATGTCTTAAATTGTAAGCATAAATTATCATTAATTTTCCAGATAATTATTTGGCAACTGTAACAGGGCTATTTTCTCATCTGTTCTGTTTGAAAAATTAGTGTATATGGAGCCTGCCACAAACAGGTATCTACATTTAGACAGCAATTCAATTTCAATACTGATTAGTGAAAAGCATCTTGATATTTTCACTCTTCTCCTTTGATGGAAAAATACTTTACAGCTCCAAAAAATCCTTTAGTGCTTGATTCTTTACCAATCAAAAAAATCACAGTTGTCATAGAAACTGTAAAAACTGAAGTCAGTCATGACATAACAACAGAGCAATGGAAAATGTCTGCAGGCTCAGGTTTTTGTGCTGGAGATATTTCTATGAATTTAACCAGGGAATCTACAACTTTTCATATCTAACAAAGAATATTATAACAATAGGCATTATTATTGTTTTTAATAATCTGTTCAGAGTCTGAAAAGTAATAGCATTTATTGCTATTGCTCCTGCTCTACACACTGGCTACATTAAAAGCAAACAGACTCTTCTCAAAACACTCAGAGCAAGCTTATGCTGTAAGGTGACTGAATTTCTCTGACCACACATCTTAGATAGCCTGGAGGGGCTTTTGGTCAATGTTCTCAGCATTCCTGAGATCCCATTTTTGGTATTTTTAAGCCGACACAAACCACTTTAAAAATCTATGTTGCCAATAGTTTCTGTCTCTTACAAATGCTGTTCAGAAAAATACTTCTATCTGCAGACCTCTGCCCCACACAAGATAGTTCAGCTCCATTCCAAACATTATCTCAGGGTTTTTCCCTATGACATGAAACTCTAAAATATAACTCTACTCCTGACTAAGACAGGTTACAAGAATCTTCCCCTCTCCATAACCAAGAGCTAAATCATATACCAACTTCAATTCCAGCACTCTTCCTGCCTTTTATTGGAACCACTTGACACTTCATAATTACTAACTGACAGGGCTGCCTTACTGCAAACACTTGCCCTTCAAGCAGAGATCACCCTGCTGAAAAGAAAATAGTCATAATACACAGGAATATTACTGGACTGACCTCACTGCAGGTGAGCAAACTGATTAGCTCAACTACAAGTAACACGAAAAGCAGCGATGTGGAAGTACTCAGATCTTAAAATAACCTTGAATTAAGTTTAATGGAGAAATTTAAGGGAGTTATTTTTGTTTCAGCTGGTTTCCTCCGGCATATTGTCCCTCTGAACCTTTAATTTATTCTTTCTAGATAACTAGGTACACATATTTTGAATAGAGAGCAAACAGGTACTTGGATTCCCTATGCTTTCCTAGAATTGCCTTAAATAAACTGTTTTATCATGATAGCATCTAGGAATTTCCAGACCTGCTAAACAACTTTAGATGCTCACACCACACCCACATTCCACCCTGCTTATGGATTACATTTAATGGGAGGGTGAGCATACTTGGTGTGTAACTTGCTTCAGCAGCCTACTGAAGTTTAACTGACCTATACACAGAGAAACTTTCCAGCTGCACCTAAGATAGAGACAGCAAAATTTGCTTGTTAACTTCCCTAACCATGAGTTTAGGAATTAAAACCAAAGTGAAATCCTGATTCCAGTAAAATAACCAGCAAACAACCCATGAGTTAAATAATAAACTTTTTTATAAGGAACAAAGGAAAAAAACTCACAATTCAAATCTTCTTAAAAAGAACAGCATGACTTATTTGTTTACTGTAGGGTTCTTATTAGAAGAGTACCTGATTTACACAAGTCCATAAACCTCAGTGGCAGAGAGACAAATTTATTTCTTCTGTTACCACAGTTGAGACCCTAGTCAAAAATATGTATAAAACCCAGCAGCTTCTCACTCTTCAGTTCTGTGGCATTCTGTCACAGACTTTACATTTAAAATACCACTCAAGGCTTCTGCGTGTCACAGCACAATTACTGCACGTGTGCATACATATGTACACAAGCACACGTACACATGTGTTACTTGAAAAAGCACATACACAAAAGCATAACATACATAGTTATGCCTTTCTCACATTATAAATATATGCATATATGCATGTGTATGCATGCATGCAGACTTCCATCTTTAATCCTGAAAACGGCATGTTCATTTCACATTACTGCCAATATTCCCCCTTCTCCAATCATCACCCAAAATGGAAGACATTCTCCTATATGCTTAAAACATGTCACACTAAGTAGATGTGAATGATAGAGCACAAACATGGAATTTCCTCTGAAACTCACTCTGACATTAAAATTTTCACCAAAACAATTACCAGAGGAAATAGTTTTTTTTTTCAAAAATAAGTACTTCCTCAGAGTGCCAGCATTTAAATGTAATAAAACAGATAAAATACTTAAAATAAAAAAAAAAAAAAAAAGCAGAAAGCTTTCACTGTATTTCTAAGAAGTAAAGTGAACCCTTCTTAGCTAGTGTAAGACACAGCATCATGCCTTACACACCCCTTCAGTACTTACGGGTAAAATGATTAGAAGCAGATGGATGGACATTACTTCCACTGTCAGCACTTTCACTGCTGGAAACATCATCATCTGATTCCCACACACATGAGCAGGGTGAGGTTCCACCAACTTCTTCAAACTTCCTCTTTAAAATTCCACTCATTGCTGCGATGCTGTCACCATGCACCTGTAACAGGAACAGAGGCAATGAGGCACTGAAACATCCACCTACTGTGCAGGTCTCCCAGTTCCTTTATCATTAAAGAGTTCACCTATCAGTCAGACACTACTACCTGCAGCTACATGGCTCCTTAACTAAGAGTTTTAAACAAATTTTCCAGGAAGAAATCGAAAAACCCATAACCTATCATCAGTATATTTATCATCACACTGACTTAAAGACAGAAGGTAAATGCTACCTGTATTCTACCAATGCAGAAAATTCTACAGCCAATCTCATACATACATACATATATATATATATATATATATATATATATATTCAGTTATGCAGCAAATTTAGGTCAAGCATAATACTCCAATGTAATTCATCAAAAATGGACCTTTATATAATGCTTAAAAACTTACTTGGCACCAAGAAACATTACATGACAAAAATTGTTTTTTAATAAATATAGTTCAGAAAAAAACACCTTCTCTCTTTTGATTTATTTTAAAGGTCTGATTTATATAATTCTCAGTACTAATAAATGCCCACAATTGCAATTAGATTTGAGAGCTGTATGAGACACTTTGCATCTTTCCAGGCCAGGCCCTGCGTAAACAGTTCTGGCTCACTTTGTCATTTTCATTTCCTCAGAAGTTTCTTGCCTAGAATTTTTGAAATTCAGATATGAGTACTGGCACACAAGTAGACTATTTCCATTCACACAAGCATCAAAGGACTAGATCCATCCTTAAGAATCTGATTTCCTAATCACATTGCCCAACAAAGCCAGAGTCATGTTGAACATTCCTTATTGTTTCCCTTTCATATATAACAGCTGATCTTTGTATCTCCATTTATGGAATACCAAGCAGAAAAAGATCAAAACATTTTTAAAGCAATTTTTAGATAATTTTAACACATCTGATAGGTTGAAACACTTTTTCCTCTATCTTTAATTAAAAAATTGGTTACTATCACCCTCATTACTGATTAATTCCTACTGCAGACTGAAAATTAATTCTAAGATCTTAAGTTAAAAGTTACAGATAATATCTACTCTCTGACTATGCTAATCAGTGGAATGCTGCTGTAAATAGCTGGGGAAAAGGCTGATGTTTGATGCTTTTAAGCTTTTAGTATCAAAAATTCTCATCTGATGCCACTTGCCTTCGGCTTGTTAAGCTGCCAATTCAATTCATTTTATAACATAGTTATTTCTCCCAGTAAGCTTCACTCTACCTTTATGGATGTGTCTAATTTAGAGGAAATATTTCAGTAGAGATGGAAATCCTGACATAATGCTAAGAACAGATGCTGCATAAGATGATCTTCAGCACCAAAATTGTTTGCATGCAGAGCACACTAAAAATTAAATAACAAATATATTAGGGTTTCATACAGTCAGTCACACAGACTGATTTAAATACATATGCTCACCATGATGTTCTCAGCTTGTTTTACTATTTATGAAAAAAAAATGTTTTCCTGAAAGGCATATCTTCAGGCTAAAAGTATGACTCAAACAGAAGTTGCTTAGATCTCAACCTTTGCCCTTTTGTCCAAAAATGAATTACTATAAACTGCAAAGAAAGCACTGTACTTTTATTCTGAGGACATGGAAAGGAGAGTTTAGCATCACTTTGTAATAACCTTTGCAAAAAATGTAGGAATGCATTTTTATGAACCAACCTCTAATAAAAACACATTTACAAAAAAGAAAAAAGAGATAAAAGAACTAAACACACACTGAAACCCCACAATTATAAAGAATCACCCCCCAAGTACAGGTTTAAAAACAACTCCTCTGAATTGTCCCCTATATCCTCACTATATCTCTTGCCAACCACCTTTTCCATTGTCTCCTGCAGTGCTTACAGCACTGAAATTGTGAAATCACCATTATTTCCATGGCAACAGCCTGCAATATCAAATCCACAGGATTATAGCTTGACTGTAGAAGAGGGTAAAGAAGCAGCTGGAGTGTGAGAAAGAAAATGCTTACATTCAAACATCTCAGTGAAGAGAGTGAGAAATGAGCTGACAAAGAGTTTATCATACAAGCGAGACCTAAGTCAAATCCATGTGTGGACCCACTGAAATTGTGGCTACAGGAGTCATGAGGTTCCAGGTCCAAAGAACATAAGTCATAACTGCACTGCAAGGCAAACCTAGTATCTGTGATCATCATGAGTACACAGCCAGTCAGACAGCAAGAGCTCATTTTGTACCCTGAGATGACTTCCAGACAAAAGCCTTTTTGTCAGACACTGTCTCCCACCAGTAAAAGCACACAGTAACTGGAGGGTTAAATGGTATCTTGTGCATCAGTAAAGTCACTGCACATAGTGAGAGTGTCAACAGCCACAACTGTTTCCAGCAAGTAGGAGAAAAAATATTTTTTACACCAAAGGACTTTAAATTTGCCTGGTTTTAGCATAGCCTACATTTGCAACAAGTGCCACAATCCAGCAGCAGCAAAGCCATTTCATTAAGATAATTTGTATAATGAACCAAAACAAATGGGTCTTCAGATTCCTGGAAATGACATAGGTTAGCTCTACATCACTAGCTGATCAAGAGAAGGTACAGGAAGTACAGGGATACCGCAGAACCTGAGTATCACCACAACACAAAGAAGGCACAGCTAGCCATTACATGTATTCAGTGTGACTGTTGCCTGATTTTTGTTCTGAATCTCTTCCAGGAAGGTTACTGAGAAGGTTGTTTGACAAAGTAGTTGGGATCAAATTTAGGTGTTGCCACTTTCTTGAATCTGTTGATTCTAATCTCTCTGTAATCAGGTCTCCCCAGGAATATGTTACATAGGGGAAGGAGACACTTCCATTACTCAAGAGCTTGGCTACCACAGAGAGAGATTAAAGAGTGTCTAAAGCTGTTTGTACACACTATGTACCAGCAGGAGATCCCTTTAGAATAACATCTGCATAAACAGATGCCGCTCCATAAGCCAATATACTTCAGAAAAAAAACACATCTGCACAGGAGTGCAAAGGCATGCTCTATCTGATAGCCTTATTATTTACACAGGCAACCTGCAGTACCTGAGCAAGATCCACATTTCCAGGAACTAGGACATAATAAGCATGGGACACACAACCCAATGATGTTTATGGAAGTGTGTGATATATCCCAGTGGAAGAATAAGCAACAGTCCAACTTCTAATAGCAGTGAGGCCACAAAGTTAGTGATATCACTAAAGGCTTCCTAAGTGCACAATCGGGGAACCAGGACAGAGAATTCAACTGAGTTTTTCTTTGTCCTGTACCATAACTACAATTGAATAGGTAAATTCAGATTTTGGGGAACCAACTGAAGCAACTGCAGTCCAAAGAAATCCAAATCCAATCTTATTTGAACAGAAGACCCTAGAGGTAGGTCTAATGGTACAAGGCACCAAAGACTGACACAAGTCAAATTTTCAATACGTGAATGGAAAGAAAACTATAAATAAGTCCCATAACTGATAGGAGGAATCATAAGGGTAATGTGACCAAGGAGCAATACAATTTTGCTAACACAAGTCACTTAGGGTATGTGAGACTACCATTATATAGGATGGGAATACTCTTAAATACACAGAAGTACTTCAGTAATGTGTAAATTATGAAGTGAGCAAATGTATATAGGTACAGAATGCAGTACACAGATATCCATGTCTGACTATAGGAACCAAACAACAGCACATGACTAAGAAAAACAAATGGATGGTCAATCAATATTCTTGGACTTCCACTAAGGCACCAATGATCTTCAGCCTTCAGAGTCTGAAAAGTAACTGTCAGCTACAGGTGAAGAGATCTGCTATATCATACTTATCCATTGGGTTAAAAAGGACAAAAGTTGGCTCGAAAGGTTCAATATTAGAAACAGACATTTTCAGATGATTACTAAATAGCTGTCTAGTAACTACAGTTCATTTGGAGCAGCATCCTTCCAATTCACACACTGTGGAACAAGCAGACACTGGAATCTTTCCTGTTTGTAGATATATCCATCACAACAAAAAAATCCTTGCACAGCAATGTGATACATCATCCTCTGCCATCCTTCTCATCATACTTTTGTGGCATTAGTCCACAGCAAGGCAAAACAAAGTTGAAGCAGAGGGAACAGTACTAAAGTAAGGAAAATAAGCTAACACATTGCTGTGAGCTCTAGGTGAAACACCAATTGCCTAACACAGTTAAGGACTCTTGAAGAAAGTGACAACTTGACACAGCAGAAGCATGTGGTGGCTAGGGGCTGTGAGAAGGATGTATCTCTCCTAAACACCCCCATCCATTTCTTACTCCTTCACTTCCTAGTTTTCCTCCAGCCTGATGAAACTACTCCTACGATGAGATCATTTAGCCAGTTCTCTAGCTGCAGGTATGCTGACTGGGGAAGCAAGTCCTCAAAGCTCCATGGCAACAGGCTTTGCCTTCCTACGACGCCAGATACCTGGCAGGCACCCGATATTTAAAAATTTCAGAGGCAATATGGTATTACTAGAAGATAAAAATTCCATGTCAATGTGGGAGATATATTTCACACTGTCACAGTACTATCTGGAACCTACAAAGTAAAATAATATAAAAAGCCTGGCTGGTTTGACTTTCTCTAGTACCTAAAAAAGCTGGAAATTTTAGAGAATCTTTGTTAACAATCTCATTGCAGAAGACCTTTAGATATCTTTAGATAGCAGGTATCCCCAAATCCCAGTGAAAGGCCTAAAAAGAAAGATGTTAGGATTACTGAGTGAGTGGACAGGTGACAGTAAATTCATTACCTGTGCTCCCAGGCGAAAATTTTACTTATGATACTGTGGTAACATACATTGCCAAACTTGTTCTACAAAATCTAACATAAGTTGCTGTATCCTCAGTGTCTCACTGACACACATGGACAGTTTATATACTGGGCATGATATTCTATGCTATAAAATATCCCTTTGGCCAGTCTGGGTGAGCTGCCCTGGCCATGGCCCCCAAGCTCCTTGTGCAGCTCCTCACTGGGA